TTTGTAAGACTTGGAGATAACTTCCAAAGTGGGGGGGGGCTAGTTGACTAATTCATCACTCAGCCTTAGCCATATTTATGTTTAAATAAAAACCACATACCTTAGGACTGGAGAGATGGCTCAGTGTTTAAGAGCAGTTGCTCCACTTTTATATCAACCATGAACCCATATTCAGTTCTCATATGGAACCTTAAGATCATCTGTAATCCCAGGTCTAGGAGGTCTGCCCTAGCATCTTTAGGCCTCTGTTGGTACCAGGCATGCACACAATTCACTTACATACACAGCAGCAAAGCACTCAAACACATACAATAAACAGAAATATATTTTTAAAAAACTCCACCTGCCTTCACTCATCTGTGTATGACAGTGAGTTTGGATTATCCCAACTATTTGTGGAGTTTAGAATCTTACACTTTACCTAGGTTTAGGTCAATACTTTCAGATAAAGATGTAAGAAAATATCAAGTCTCACATATTCTATGTAGGGGAACCCTAACAGGGCATTGGTAGATCATTAGCCTTTCAAAGCAGGAGCCAGAATCCTATTGTGATGGGTGATTCAAAATGGTTCCTCTCTAGTTTCACACCTTTGTCCAGCACCCAACGGTTGTAATTGCAGGCACATAGTCTTTACGAATACTAGTCTTTTTTTCTTTTATTATTTATTTTCTCCTTTTTCTTTTGCGGTCTATCTTTATTGTTGTTCTCATGTTTAATATTATAGTGAATTTCTTTACTAACTTAAAATTATGTTTAGAGTACATTTATTCTGTCAATGTTGCCTATAACTTCTTTTATATCGAAAATAGGTAGGAATCTATGTTAGACTTTATTTAATCATATTGACACAAATGTCATGCTATTTGAAGCCAAAACTGATGAACAGCAGTTTACTATCCATAGCATCTGACTTAAATCCAAAGTGAGAAATTATTAATAAATGGATCTCTTAGATTCAGGTAGTTACTTACGTAGGTGAGAACAGTGAATATAAGCTCATGTAATTAATCTAAGAAAAAGTGTATTATTCTATCTCTCTTACAGCTGAGATGGGCTTAGCAAGCTTGACTAGTATGCTTAGAATGATTGCAGTTTTTCAGGGTTCTATGTTGGTTTATGTTTTTCTCTTCTCAGACAATGATTCTCTTTTATTTATATAGTTGATAAGCCAAAGGTGACCCTGGTTTTTGCAAAGCTTCTTCTGAGAAGTCTGAGTTACTACTTCTTTTTTCTAGGTTCCTAACATATAGGAGGCATCTGTATTAGGCATTTTTATTAATTGTCAGTGCATGCTAGGAATCCAGGTTTCATCATGGTGTTCATTTGAAGCAACCTAGAATGGGGACAGAACAACATACTTGGAATTGAGAGTAACACATGCATGTGATTTTTCCTGTTGCATGGTGGTGTAAAAATTCCATCTCAAAATTTAAAAAGAGCCCCCTTATTGTAAAAAAAAAACCTATAAGATATAAAAGGTTGAATAGGTTTGGCAGAGTCTACAGTGCAGTGGCCCACCACTGTTATAATCTAGAATTTTAAATGAGTGGGCTGTAATATTGGTTTAATGATAGGCTAGAACCTCATTTCACTTTTTTATCTGCTCCCATGTTCAAGGCTCTATGGCTTAGAGGCCAGGGCCTCTCTACCACTGAGCTGTGATTTAAGAACAAAAGAACAGCATTTCTGTTGCATTCTGGAATTTTTTCCCTCCTGGCTTCTATAGATACTTGCTTTGATTCATAGAAATGAAAGTCAATTATTGAACGATGTTTATTTTCACTTCTTCACCATTTATCCCCCCCCCAAAAAAAACTGGTGCTATTTTTTTATGTGTTACTTGAAAAGTCATGAGATATATCTTAAAAGATAATAGTTTATTATTTGAAAAGCTCCAAAGCTGTTCATTTTGATGTACTATAGCAATCCTAAAGCCTTCCGAAGAAAGCACAGGACTTAGACCAGACTGACAACTGGTGTATCAACTCTTTCATTCATGTGTTTGGAGTTAGTACAACATGCTTTCTTTGTATATGAAAGAATATTTCTAATGTTTTCATATTTTATGCCCCTCAGGGATATATGCATGTTGAATTATGATAGAGTAGTAGATGGCATCCCTTGGAGTTTGCAAGGAAGGGATAGAGAAAGAGGTTTGGCAAACCCTTCATTTTTTCACATGCATGGCTATTCATGCAGTTATGATGTAAAACTGTGCTGGCATTTGAATAATTGTCTTATCTCTATGGCAGGCACTTTTTTTTGTTGGTGATGATGCTCATTTGTTATTTGCTTTCCAATATGCAAAATTCTGAGTGCTTCATTCTTAAGCACTGAAAAGGTTCAGGAAATATCCATATTAAATATGTTCGTAGTGTTTCACCGACAGAGAATTTTTTTCTTTAGTAACATTTTAAATAGCTTAAATGAGGTCAAGTGCCATATCCATAGTTGTCTTCAAATCTGTACTCAACATAGATAAAATCTTTGTCATCTAACTACTTCCATTGTCTTTTATTTCCTATGGTATCTATTTTTTTAAAAATTAAGAGAACACACACACACACATACACACCATGAAATTGCACAAAGAAGGTGTGTTATGTATAGATTAATTTCAGGCAAGCCCCTGACATGTTAACTTTTTACTCTTACAAAATGGGGTCACAACATATAGTTCCAATTTTTAATGCTTTATCTCTCTGTCTCTCTCCCTTTGTGTTTGTATGCTAGACACACTTATACTTAATTTATATGAATTCAAATATTAATCCCTTTGCCTTTATTTTTCTTCTAGCCTTTCTACCTCCTCCAGTCCTACCTCAGAGTCTTATTTTTGTAAATATTAAGCTGATCATATTGTGAAGCATTATACAATATGATGAAAATTTTCATTAGGTTATCTTTATATAAGAATGTCATAAACATCAACTAAGCTGGAAAATTAGGGCTATAAACAAACCATTTTAATTCATATTTATTCAATGATCAGGCTCTTTTTAATCCTTTATCCATGCTTTAGTAATGTAGTCTTTGTAGGCTTCTGAGAGCCAAATAAAAGATTTAGTCATGAATGAAGCAGAGCTGCTTGTAATAATTGTGGATTCTAAATTGAGATCTTCTATAGTAGGTCTAAACCAATCAACAAAACCTTTATGTTTTAGTAACATGGGATGAACTGTACATATTTTTGTGGTTGTCTTAGTTAGGGTTTTATTGCCATGAAGATACACCATGACCATGGCAACTCTTATAAAATAAGTAAAACATTTAACTGGGCCTGTCTTACAGTTTCAGAGGTTTAGTCTATTGTTGTCATGGCAGGAAGAATGACAACATAAAGGTTCAGTCATGATGCTGGAGAAGTAACTGATAGTTCTACTGTGTGCCACCCTGGGCGTAGTTTCGACATATATGAGACCTCAAAGCCTGCTTCCACAGTGATACACTTCCTCCAATAAGGCCACACCTACTCTAACATAGCCATTCCTACAATAGTGCCACTCCCTATGGTCCAAGCATTCAAACATGAGTCTATGGGGACAATGCCTATTCAAACTGCCTCCGTGGTATACTGTGATAGGTTAATACAGATATATAGCATGTACTACTTAAGATGATGTGATAAACATCTTGATCTGTTTTTTGTTGTTAGGAGAGACTTCAACTCCTCTGTCTCTTCTAGATCCTCTAAAATATTTAATAGATTATTGTAAATTGTAGTGCTACTGCTGTGTCTTAGAATACCAGAACTTGTGTTTTTGTGCCTACTTCTATCACCCCTCAGCCCTGTCTTTCGTAGTTTCTAATGGCTACTATTCTAGTTTTGTAGCTTCTGTATATGAAGGACAACATGTGGTGCTTGTTTTTCCAGTCTTGACATATTTTGCCCAATGTAATGTCCTTCAGTTTCATCTACATTGCCTTAAAGGATAGGAATTCATTTTTTATGGCTATGTAATTCTGGTGAGCATCCATACCAGACTTTCTTGTTCCACTCCTCTGCTGATGGGCAGCAACGTGATTCTCTATCTTAACTAATGTTAATAGTACAACGATATACTTGGTTTTTCAGGGATCCTTGTGATTTTTTAAAAATTTTCTTTGAATATATGTCCAGAAATGAGAAAGAGGTAAATTAGATAGTTTTTCTGCTTTATAATTTTTGAGGAACCTTCTATTTTGTTCTCCCTTATAGCTGTTGTAATTTACATTCCTACTAGCTATGGATATTTCATTATGAAGTAAGTCCTTAATAAAAGTGAAAATTCAAACAAAGAAGGAGAAAGAGCTAGTTTGTGGCTAATTAAATGATACCCAACATATAAGAGGAGTGTGTGTGTGTGTGTGTGTGTGTCTAATTGAAGCCTGTGAGTTCTCTGGAAAAAAGAGGCCACAGTGTATTCCTTCTGATAAGAAATCTGGTAATCGTGATGTCATAATGAAGTGCTTTCTTGGGGGAACTGGTGGTCAAAAAGAAATTATGGATTAGGTTTTCAAATAGAATCCACAGGAATCTATGATGGGTAAGATGGAAAGAGGCTGATAGTGTTTATAAAAATTGTGGGCAAGTTTCTTTGATAAAGTGAACATTGGATTTCCTACCTTGTTTCTACATCCTCTTCTGTTGAATGCAGCTTCAAGCATAGGTGATTTTTAGCAGTAGGTGTTGATAAAATTGCTGACTTTCCACACGCTAGCACTCAGGATAAACTTTTAAAAATACGTTTTCATCATAACTTGTTTCTTTTTAGGATTTTTGTTTTGTCAGCAGTGGGAACGGCGAGGGCCATAAAAAACGAGTAATGTTTAGAGGGAGATCTATAGCTTTTTAAAAATCCATTTTCCCCACACTAGTCCCAAAAGGCAATAAAGGACTATCCAAAGTGCTATTTCCCCAAAGAGCCTGTGGGTACCAGAGAGACCAGAACACGGTGGGGTTGCAATGATTCCCAGAAAAAGCTGATGAAATTGATATCTTCCTTTTCCTTTTACAGACCAGAATGAAGGATTTCATTGCAGGGAGGAATGCCGGATTCTTGGCCACTCTGATAGATGCTGGATGCCTCGGAATCCCATGCCCACCCGTTCCAAGTCTCCTGAGCATGTGAGGAACATCATCGCTCTGTCCATTGAAGCTACTGCTGCTGATGTTGAGGCTTATGACGACTGCGGCCCCACCAAGCGGACATTCGCAACCTTTGGAAAAGATGTCACCACCCGCCCGGCTGAGGAGCGGCCCATCCTGAAAGTCAAGAGGACTGTCGATGTGACCATCTGCAGCCCCAAAGTCAACAGCGCTATCCGGGAGGCAGGCAATGGCTGTGAGGCTATTAGCCCTGTCACCTCCCCACTGCATCTCAAGAGCCCTCTGCCTACCAAGCCTTCTATGTCTTACACGGTCGCCCTGGTTCCTCCAGCTCGTGATCTGGAGCACCATGCCAACAATGGCGCCTCTCGTCCTTCTGAAGCTGAACCCCGTGGAGCCGACAGTGAGAGAGTCATGCATGAGGTCAATCCTATTCTGAAGGAAGGGCGTGACAAGCAATCTCCTGTCGTGAAGCGTCTGAAGGATATCATTCTGTAAACCCGTCTGGGGAAGAAGAAAGAAAAGAAATCACACTGGCTAGTGAAGATGCAGCATCTACTCATTTTACTCACCAATGGTTGGTTCTTGAGTGGCTGCATTGTAGAGATTTCCCTAAATGTATTGTGTATAAGTGACTATCATTCCGTGACAATCCCTCTCGTTTCAACAGGCAGCAGGGGTGTTCAGTTGGAGCAAATTAGCTTTGGCTTGAGTTGTTCATGGGGCCTTGATGTTGGGGAAACAGAGGCAAATTCAGTTGTGAAGAGTATTATGTATTAAGTGTTTGAATTTATATATTTTTCTATGTCAAAATGATAATATAAATTACCATTGTTTGTGAAGAATTACATTTAAAAAAGCAAAAAGAAAAAAAAGAAAAAAAAAAGCTCTGGACACCTTTAATAAGCTCGCCACTGTTTTTTGTAGTGTAGACAAGTTATTGGTCATTTATTGTGTACTATTCATTGATTCAGTGACGTGAAATCGAGCCCCCAAAAGGTTGTTTCTGAAGCTCGAGTACTTTCCAATACCGCTACTTTGCTGTGGACGCCCCTGCTTTAAGAACCCTTTTGCTAGCTGTGCTGTTGTTGTATTTGATATTGCAAATTGCTATGTGTGTGGTGATGGCAAAAGGCTTTTAAAGGTTGATGTTTTCTTTTCTTAAAAAAATAATAAAAATACAGACAAAAACAAAATGCAGAAACTGAGACAGCAGACGAATGAGCACCACCACACCTAGAGGTTGAGTACTTGGTGGATACTCACCTTTTTTAATTCTTGTAGTGGTTGCTCACTACCTTGCAGAGGCTTTCTCCTGCCTTTCAGTCTTCTGCCCGGGTCTGTGCTAGATCATTGTAGAAAGTCATTTTTGGATATGCTGCTATCTAATTTGCAGTTGTCAGAAATACTGTGCTGAAAATTTTATGAGATGCATTATTTTTTTTCTAATTTTCAGACCCTGAACAGGAAAGTTACTCCTGATGTTATCAGTTTTCAGGCTGAGAAATTCCCTGTCTCCAATCATCTAAAAATCATGCAACATGACTGAGTCTATTTTGAGATCTAAATTACCATCTCTTTAGACACACACTTCCTGATTCAGTGTTTTCCCAATCATGATTGGAATTAGATGGTAAAGCACATCATGGGCTGGAATCGAGGGCGCCATGCTGCTCTTTACCTTAGGCTTATAAATAATGATAGAGTAAGCAGTATGAAGTGTACACTTAGGAAAAGCCAGGTACTAACATCACTGATCTAATTACTGTGCCTTCTAAACGGAGACACTCAGACACTTGAACACGTCTTTTTATGCCTAACACTTTTTTTGATTAAAAATGTGAACAAGAAATTATTAAAACAAAAATCCCTTAGATTTAGTAACTCTTTTTTGCTGTAGGCTAGGAATATGCCTTTTTAAACTAACAGAGCGCCCATTCTTTTTGTTCTTTTTAACACTGCACAAATGCCCCTTTTCTCATCTGTCTATTAATACTCACTAGCCAACATAGTATTCTTGCAGCCTAAGAGTTCATTATTTAAAATAAACTAAAGAAACATGTCCCATTTGCTCTACTTTTGTCTTAAAGGAATTTCTTCTAAAGAAACAAGTTTTCTGGTTCCTTCCCCCCTTTCTCCCTTCCTCCCTCCCTCCCCCTTCCCTTTCTTCTTCCCTCCCTCCCTCCTTCCCCCTTATCTCTCTCTCTTTTTTTTGTAATTCAAGAACACTCAGAAAGAAAGCCTAGAAGTTAGAGCACTAGAATTCAAAACAGAATTTATTTTCTTAAGTTTAGGTAGATACAGTCAGCTCTTTGAAATGTTTTCATTATTTTTATCTGAGTTCCTAGATTTATACATTACTAGGAATTTTTTTTTGTGGGAGGTGGGAGGGTTGTAAGCGAAGGGGTGGGTAAGGCAATGGGCATGGGGTTAGGTAGGGGAGAAGATTTCTGGGGATAAAAGAAACATATAATGATGCTACAAATCAATCCTTATTTCCTAAATACTACCTCATGCAAAATATTGGGTTGGCTGCAAATTTCTCCCAGACACAGTTAGAGACCTTTACATCGTTTTCTTGCTTCATTTAACTTTCTCTCATATATGTTCTCATCTTCTGGTTTATTTCATTATGGTGGTATTTATTTTTCCTTCCAAGTGACTATTTGATTAACATATTTAGCTTTTTAAAGTGCCCTTTAAGTTGGGATGGCTGCCTATAGAATTTAGACTGCTCTTCACCAGGATCCATCTGACAGTATCTTGTTTGCTAGTACCTCAAGGTCACTTTGTAGTCGATTGGACAGCTTTCTACAGGTGGATTTCTTACTCTGCTCAGTGGAAACGAGGGAGTTTGAAAGGTTGTGGAAAGTGGAGATGGAATGTAGAGAGGCCACTGCCTGCCATGTGTCTTTCCAGCCAATTAAAAACGGGTGGCATTAGCAGTGATTTTCTTTTTGCCTTTTTAAAAAAGCAACTAAAAATTTTGTCCCCAGAATTTCATTTTAGTTCCAAGCTTAGTCTATCTAAAAATCATTGTTCTCAGTGGGCAGTCAGAGATTTTTTGTTTTTTTGTTTCAGAACTCTTTACTGAGTATGTATAAGAATTCTCGTTAAGGAAGTATCTTTCCCCCTTCAGTTGTCTGATGGAAGTGCAAGCGCATCCTAGGAGAGCTTTGTAGGCAGGTTCTACAGGCCAACTGTGCTTGCAAATAGGACTTTTGTGCAAGGGTCTTAAACTCCCCACGGACTCGAGATTCTCCCCCTCCCTTTTTAACACATGTGATGAAAAGCTACCAAGGCCAGTGGAGCAAATATTTTTCCCTTTCTTTCTGCAAACATGTTACACAGAAACATGTGGGAACAATTTTAGTTCCCAAGTCCTAGGGAGTTCTATTCCACTTATTCTGATGTCCCTAGGTCATGAAGTGTGACATACTTAAAAATTTCCTGGCCAGGTAAATGTCTTTATTGAGTATAGGGTATCTAGTTTGCATTGATTGACTGCTTTCTCCCAAACATGGGAACATGCTATTCAATAAGAAATGGGGAACAATGCCCTGTGGAAACTTGTTCCCCCCTGTGCAGTCTAGTAAATTAACCTGTTCAGAATGAAACTTAGTATTTCATTGTTCCTCTGAAGCCAGTAGAAAAAGTGAGGGTTTGTCTTGGTACCGAATTGATAGTGGGTTACAGAATCCAGTAGTTCTTGCACAACAGTGGTTCTCAAAGTATCATCTCAAAGCAACATCACTTAGGAACTTCTTAGAAATGATAGTTCTTGATCCTTGCCTAGAATGGCTGTATAAGAAATCTGGAGGATTTGGCACAGAAATCCATGAGTTAGTTGCCCACTCAAGTTTGAGGGCTTGTTAAAGCACATTTTGGTAGAGCCTAATCCTCGGTGTTTCTTATTCAGTTGTTTGTGGGTAGGATTTCTTTGCCTATCTACAGATGCCTAGGAGATACTGATGAGACAATGCTCCAGAGGAAACTTGCCTCATAGGACTAACTGCACCTAAGCTGGCCATTTCTACAATTTTGTTGACATGGTGACCAGCTGATCATTAATGAAAGCTGTAACTCTGAACTCTGCAAATAAAACCACACAGAGTACCTTCCAGATCCTGCCGTCTCAGCATATGGCTATTAGAGGGGAACGCAGAGGACTTTTTCCTCTACACCTACCACTATAAAGCAAACACAAGTGGTCTACTTGATGTAGAAAGACAAGGGACAGTTTGGGAGAGGCAGGGATGGAAAGGATAGCTTTTTTGGGCATCCAAGGTGGAGAAAGGATTATTACTGTACATAATCCATTTTATGGGGATCATTTTGATGTCAAATGTTCCCCCAAGGCACTCCCGACAAGTCTGGTCCGCTTGGCTCTTTTCACAGGGTAATAAGACCCTTCTGACTTTGAAAAACTGGCAGAAATGAGCTGAAGAAGTCCATTGTATACAGTCCTAGTGTTTGCCTTCTTGGTAAAATTACATTTTAAGGATGTCATTTCATGAGTCAAATTGTATCTGCTGACACTAAAGTGTATTGAGATGTTGTTCTTTAGTTTAAGTATGTATCAAAGTAATATTCAAAGGGGATGTATGGGGGTGGGACTGGGACCGGGTGGCTTTATATTGATAATGAAATATTCCAGAGCAAAACACATTGTCCTAATGAAGTTGTTGCAGCTCTCTTTGTTTTCTTGTGAAACTGAAATTGGCCCGTGGGTCACTTGTCGTGCAAAAGTGAATTAATTTCAAATAGGAATCACATTGCTTTTGTAAAACAAAGAAAATCAACCACCTTGTCTGAAGTATACGTTGTAAGGCGCTCTTGGTAAAGAACAACCTAGAAACACCTGACCTTGATTGGAAAGCATTGTAGGTCATTAGGGAAATCTGATGATGCTGCCTGTTGCTCCAGCTGTGTTGGCAATTAAAGATGACCTTGTTACTAACTGAATGTTGCTGTCAACCTTAGCAAACAAACCAGCTAACACTTTACAGCACCGGTTAAGTAGATGTTTACTGGCACTGGCTGGCATTCAGCTGAGGAAGGCTAAGATCCAGACTAATGACCAAGGGCCAGACTAGGTCTAGCTAGAAGTTCAGCAACAAATACCTCCTTGTGCTATTTGAATGCTAAGGTATTAGTTGCAAAAGGCTTACGCCTTCGCTCCTCTAGTGAGGGGAATGAGCCTGATGACACTATTACTGTTTACCTGTCGAACCAGGGTGGCAATTTAGAAGGATACAAGTACAGTACGTTTCATTAAGCAGTCTCTGTTGCTGATTATATGAAGATGAAATGGTTGTATATGCTGATCTGTATGTTATGTACATTTTCACAGTGATTGAATCATTGTAAAAACAAAAAAAGACAAAAAAGAATCACCACCACTCTGTCTATTTTATGAAGATGATAAAGCAGCTTTATTAAATTATTACAGTTCTGTTTTAAATGGTGTTACCTGCCACATTGTTTCCTTTTATCTGGTGGTTCTCTGTTTCCCTCTTAAATGTGTTTTCTCTGCTTCAAAAATTTAATGCATTTTAGTATTAAAGGCTATTATGGAAAAAGTATTGAGTGTTTGGTGAACTGTGTCTTGGAGAGTATTTTGTTCCCCTTGATGATGGGTGGAAGCGTCTCAGAACTTGGAAGTAACCAGTTCTTGGTGGGCGTCACTGATGTTCAAGCAAAGACTTCCGTTTGCCTTTCCCATTTCAAACAACTTCCGGCTTGCTAACTGAGGGGCTTCTTCCTGTATCCAGGTCCCATTCATTCACATTGTAACCTCTGCTATTGCCAGTCCTATCAATACTGTTACAGAAGGAGGGAAACCCATTTCACATTCGGGATGCCGAAGATTTTCCCATGAGCCATTTTAAACAAGCACACTAAAATTATTCTTTAAAATAAATCATTTCAGGGACAACTGCACAGTGGGACTTCTCTGCAGAATTAATTTGTTAAAAGGGCAAGCTTTAGTTGAGGCTGTCAGTTGGGAAAAAGAGAGTGTAAAACAAAGATGACCTGGCTGCCCCTTGATGCCTTCAGGTTTGAAAATGAAGCATCAGGAGAGGCTCTGACTTTGTACATAATAAGGCTGCAGAGAAAGTTCCGATAAGCTCTCTTTATCCAAACAATTATTCTGTAGGACTTAGCACTTGGGCTGCAAGTATTTCTTCTGGCTGCAACTGGAGGGCGTGACTAGAGGAAAGGGGGGCACATCAGACCATTACAAATAGTGCCTTTAGTGGTTAAAGGCTAAATTGCTTCAGCATGACCTATTCTTTCCAGACAATTAAAAGTGATCTCAAGGAAATCCACTGTCTTCCTGGATCTCCATCTTTCTGTTATCTCTGCTCACCTGTATTAAATTGAGATTGTATCTTATTCCCCAGAATTAGCCCTAGAGTCAAAGCAATAGACAGAGATTCGGTACTGCATTTTAATAGCTGTTTCATCAGAATGCAAACAGACAAGCTGGAGCACTGGGATAACATACACTGGTATATGTACAGATGTTCACATGGTCTCACAGATGGAAAGGCATATTGGAAAGAGACTGATATGTCACTGGCCTGGAAACAATTAAGACACAGGAGGTCAAAGGAATGCTTCTGGGTTAGCCTGTACCAAAAACACAAAGAAAATTGTTCTTGGACTGTTTTCCATCTACTATTTTTTTTCTTTTGAGTGGGGAAGGGAGGATAGAGCAAAAAAGTCAATTCCTTCTTAGGAACAAAGAAGAGAAAATAAATTCTCATATGATGAAGAACCTTCACATATATAGCAAAGACATACCCTAGGGCAAAACAATGATCACTGTCTAAGTATGGGAAACTGACAATATTATAAAAACATAAGCTCAAATATGTTCAACTTTAGAAAGCAAAATTATCTGCTTCATAGTGGTAGCGAAGTACATGTGAGGTACTTTATGTGTCATGTTGACATTCTGTGTGTGGTGTCCACAGCTGATAGCTTTTAGGGTATTCTCTTCTAGTTTACGGACTCGGTAATGGAGACAAAAATGTGCCTAACCACTTTCATTATTTTAATTCATTATTCACTTAATTTCATTATTTTAATGAGGGTATAGACATGATTAAAGATGTCCTGAATGCAACTCCTACCACTTGGAAGGTGATAGGGGTTCCAAAAAAATCTTTAGCATCCAAACAGATGGGTGCTGTCATTATAGTTGTAATTCTCCTGTATTTTAGTAAGTGGCTCTTACACCTGCCTGACACTTTAACTCCCTACTTTTTCCTTGTGTTTTCATCAGTGTATATTAATTATATAATACAACATTCTTCATTATAAAATTTCTATATATGCATATAAAGTACTTTGAACATATTCACCTCATATATTATTATTACTCCTCCCAACTTTCCCCTTTCTCTTCCGTATCCTGGATCTCTTTTTAGTTTCACATCTTTTGTTTCCCTATCCACAACTTCTACATATGAGAGAAACCAAGCAATACTTGTTTACGGGAGTGGTTTCTTTTATTTAATATAATCTATATAGGTCCACCTATTTCCTTAAAATATCACATGTTGTTTTCTTCTTTATGAATGAGTAAAACTTTATTATACATATATACAATATTTTGTTCATCCATTCATTTCTTGGTGAGCCATAGTCTTTTCGTTGTGAGTAGTGTCATGATAAATATGTGAATGCATATATATTAACTGCTTTACTTATTGTTGTGACATAACACCTAACAAGGAGAAAATTAAGCAAAAGAAAGGTGTGTTTTGGCTTATAGTTCAAGGGGTACAATTCATTATGGCAGGGAAAACATGGCAGCAGGTCCAGATGGCTCCCAATCAAATTGCAACTAAAGTCAGGGAGTAGAGAGTGATGAACATTTGTTTTCAGTTCACCTTTTCATTTTTGTTCAGTGTAGGACTCCAGCCCATGGTATGTAAATACATATTTAGGCCAAGCCTTCCTTTGTTAATTAACTTAAAGATTTGATTCCATGGTCATTCTAAATCCATCAAGTTGATGATTAGTTGTCAATACCAGATATTTCTTTTGTATGTTGACTTGGATTACGCAGAGCATATACATATGTGCTATTGCACCGATGTGTGTGCATGTGTGCGTGCACATACACACACACACACACACACACACACACACACGTGCGCACACACACACAGGCATATTTATCCAGAAGTGTTTGACTGTTCTTTTAATTTTTTTCTGAGTAAACTCAGTACTGATTTCCACAGTGACTGGATCATTTTTAATGTGGAAAAGGATGATGGATGGGAAATGGTCAGACAAGAATCTTCCAGTTACCCAAAGCTCTTGGTGTACTGGTTGTATCTTGTGTTTTAGAATTTTAACTTCCTCCAAATGCCCAAAGCCTTGACTTCATTGTAGTTTTCTGGGTCCTCTAGTATTGATCTTTTTCCCAAACCAGGGCTTTCTCTGTCTTATAAGTATTTCCACTGTCTCCTTTACTTTCTAAAGTTCAGCTGTGTCTGGATGTGCTAGAGTAGCAGGGACTAGTAGAGAACCACTCTGTGTCAAACACTTTATAAGCAGTATCTCCCCAGCAGCTTTTTGTTTAAGTTCTTTTGTTTATTTTGTGTGAGAGGATATGTATATATGTGTGCGCGTTCAGGAGCACATACTGCTGCTGACATGTAAATGCCATGGGAAAAATTGTGGGAGTCAGTATTTTTCCTTCCACTATGTGTGTCTTGGGGATTGAATTCCGGTCCTCAGGCTTGGTGGTAAACATCTTTATCTACTGAGCCATTTCCCTGTTCTCAGTACAGCATCCTGTCCTCAAGGCAACCTTGTATGGGAGATGATGACATCTCTATTCTATATACAAACAAATTGAGGCTCAACGTGCTTATGGGAGATTATTCAAGGAGACATGATTACTAAATAGAAGTGCTAAGATTCAAACATGCTTGTTTACTAAGAAAGTATTACTCTCTTCAATTACTTTTCAGGAATCAACAAACATCCTGATAAGTTCTTCCTGGATACAGTTTTAATAGTGTGTGCTAATATCTTAACACATTTATTTATTCATCCTAAAAATATAAACATTTTAACATCTTTGGGATCCCAATGTTATGTCTCTGAGAAGTGATTGTCGCAGTGGGAATTTCAGGTCAGGGTGCTTTTGATCAGCCTCCTAGGCATCTCCCTACTCCTCTACTCAGTGGCTCCCTTTCAAGTTACATTAGTCATGCATGGCAGAACTGTGGCTCCTTTTAGAGTCTGTGCACTCTAGCTAGTCAACAGCCCTTGAAATGAAGGTCTGGTAACCCTATATTCTTCTGTCCCTCTGGATTTCAAGCAATCTGTCAAGGATGTATTCATGTGTGTTACAGGTCAGCACAGCTGGAGTCAATCCCAATATATGTTCACAACAGGGATGGATTAGTTTTTTAGATGCAGAAAGTTGGCAGAAGATGAGAGAAGTTAAAGGCTAAAAAGCAGGGTGCTAGTGGTGATGGGGATGGAAGGCATGATTGTAAAAGAAATTGAAATCATTGGGCATTACTAGGAAAAGCATCATAGAATAGAAGAATTAGCTGAAAAGAAGGGTAACTCAGTTTTGAGCACTGGGTCACCAAGAACATGAGTTGGTTTCCATGCATGCCTCACAGTTCATGTGGAATTGACAAGGTGCGGATGAGTCCCCAAGATCCTTTTGTCTGGTTTCCACAAGTTAGCTAGCATCCTGATATGTATCTAAACTAGGAAGTGAGTTCAGACAAAGTTAAGTGGGAAGGAAAAAGAAATTTACAAGCCTCTGGCAATGAATAGAGCAGCTTCCTAAAGGAGCCCTATATAAAGAGACAAAAAACCCCTCATTTAATAGTTCCTGTTATTCAAGTGTCCATATCCAGCATGCCTCAGTGGCCAATGCTTCCTCAGTTTTGAATATAGCCCTAAGAATTTGGTCTGTCAGAGCTGAGTTGCCCAAGATGCTAAGCACTGAGATGCTTGATGTTTTGTACATGCTATTATAACCTTTCTTTCTTTCTGTCTTTCTTTCTTTCTTTCTTTCTTTCTTTCTTTCTTTCTTTCTTTCTTTCTTTCTTTCTCTCTCTCTCTCTTTCTCTTCCTCTCTCTCACTCCCTTCCTTCCTTTCTTCCCTTTTGACATATAGCAGAAAAAAATGGTATATCAGAGACTACGACACAGGTAATTTTTGCCTCCAAATCAATATCCAGGAACTGTCCTCAAAGTATCTGGTCAATTTCTTCTTCCTCATTGTAAACATTGTGGTCCAGAAATCAGCATTCCTCATCTGGGTAACTGAAATAATTTTCTAACTTTTCTCTTCTCATTCTCCTTGTCTCTCTCTGTCACATGTTCACACTGCAGCAAGAGGGATTTTGCTAAAATACAGCATCCGTTAAGTCACACCTCTGCAGAAGATCTGTCAATGGCTTCACTAAGATGAAATCTAATTTCCTTAACATGGATTACAAGACTGATTTTCAATTTTTTTGTCAGCTCCCTATAGTAAGAAATCCATTTTACACCACATATTTGTAACTGAAATGAACATTTCACAAACAAT